CTCCCCCGTTTGTCCCGCGTTGGCGTGTTTATTTTACATCCGAGTGTTTCACGTATATAAATCTGAGAGAGAGAGAGCTCGGTATTTTATATTATATTATTTTGTACACGTACGCGAGTTGGAGGGAAAACTTATTTAACCGATGGAGCGTCGGAATTGTTTATCTCGGCTGATTGATCGCGAGCGAGTAAAAATAAATATGCGCGGGCGATTGAATCGATGATTAAATAAAAAATAATAATAATAATAACCATTCGCGTTTCGTAGTATGCGCGTTGTCGATGACAACCAATATTTTCAAGGGGAATGATATGCGTAAAGTGTTTTTGACTTTTGCAATTTTCCGTTGACAAGAGCACAAGCGTATCGGCTATCCGAGATATTAAAACAGAATTGATGTAACGCGACACCGAATTTCCGAGCCCCGTGCGTTTTTGTACGCATCCACTGCTTTTTGTCGCATGCGTATACGGCCTGAGGGTATATGGGACTCGGTATATGTATTATAGAAGGTGGGGAGGGGGCTGTGACCGCCGGTTACTCTATACGGCAGTGACATTGTGCGGTGTATAAACGTGTAAGCGGACACGAGCTTTTTCTCTCTTTGGAAGTCGACGGCTTCAGCATAGCTCTGATTTTTTCGTGTTTGTATAGGTCTATGATGATACACGTGCCTATCTACGATGCCTACTTTTTTATTTCACCCCACAATCGATCGGTCGGAAATTTTCACGAGAATCGGATGGAGGATACTTTTGTCTCTGAAAACAGAAGCTTATAGTTTAATTTTATAGATGTTATTTGTATTGTTTATAACTAGAAAAAAAAAAAATAACTTTTCTGTTCCAACAAACAACAACAAAAATAATATCTTTGTATGACGAATAAAATTTAGCTCTCAGTAAGGTGGCAGTCCAAGTCGGGGTGATTCAAATGTGGACGAATGCATATTGTCGTCCGTCTGTGATTTTATACACCACGTGGTGCATAGATCTCGTTAATCAAGCTCTGCTTTCCCCTCACACGTACGATCCTATAAATACATTGTACAGTGACAAAGGCAATGTGCATACACGCGATGACTGTGTATGCAATGCATACTAATTGGCATTGTTCACCATTCGCTCAATAACATAATAACACACGGGTGTAGTGCAGGTGTATAGGTATATGGCGTGGCATACAATTACGAAACAATCGCCGTGTTACCAATACACTCGATAATTACATATAGGCACACATATAGTTATACACTTTGTTTACACAGCTACCCTAAATCGCAATAGAGACCCCACTGCACAGTATAGCGTAAGACCATATTCAAAGCAAATCTTGACCGTCACTCGAAAAACCCTCCGAGGAAGAAAGAAAGAGGGTCACCAATCGCTCTCGCAATGTAATACAGCCGAGGTCTGCGCGTACTGCCGCATTGCGCTCGCGCATCGTACACACAGAGTAAATAACCACACGAGAGAGAGAGAGAGAGAGGGACTCGGATGCCGATAAATAATCCTTCTCGGACGCCTGGAGTAATTATTCGCGGCGCTCACACTGCAGGGGACGGCTCTTCTTTCTCTCTGATGCACTATACGCGAGCACGCGCAGACCGAGAAGCTGCATGCACCAACCAAAGTGCCGGGGAGTGCCGTGTAATTATATTTCGTGTGGTTGCTGACCGTATATGTATATATATGTATATATATGTATATATATATAGAGGGATGGGACGCGATGCGTATTGCACTCAAGCCCAACTACATCGAGTACATTTACATGTACCATAGGCGTGGAGATTCGCGCAGATTAGGCCCTCCCCCCCCCTCCCATCGGCGTATACGTGCGTCTGCTTTTAATTAATCACCCTATAGGTACCCCGTTGCAGCAGAGTCCATTTATGGCGGCAGCTAGCGCGTTTAACGCCTCTCGTGGCGCAACACCATCGTTGTATCGCGGAGGCGATCAACCAGAAGTTGAGAGGATTTAAGGGGTGCGTGGCCTTTGTGTAATACGATGCGCGCCAACCCCCCCCCCCCATTACCTATTTATTGTAATTTAACACACGGTTCTTTTGGCGCCCTCGAGGATCCATCCGCGTGCTCTCGCCCTCCGTATTATTTACATTTGTAGGGGTATAGTATACATCGATGCCTTGTATGAATAACTTTTATTGCGGGTTACTGCAGAGCTTTTGAGGAGCCGCAGCGTATATACATGCACAAAACGGGAGAGATGTGCATATATCTGGCTTTCAATATCCGGGGCCTCCTCCGCCCTTTCCACCGCTAATGTAGCCCCGCGACGATTTATTGTTATTTAGATCCCGTGGCCGTTAATAACGACAAAACGGCGCACACCTGTAGCAGAGAAAATTAGATTGAATGTCGTAAGAGTATAGGTATAATTGATGGTTTTCAGCCAATCGGCGAGCTTAATAATTATTTGAGTGGAGGAGGAGGAGGGGGGTGAAAGAAAGAATAAAAGACTGATGTACATACACGCAAGCCGGAAGGATGGGGGCTTTAATTACAGAAAACGACGGGGCGTGAAAGAAGAGGAAGAGCAGCGTGGTGGTGGATGAAAGCTCCCCGACGTTTGGCAGGTTGACAAAAGCTCGGCATCGTCCCCCCGTGTGTTTGCCGGCGGTACCCTACAAATGCACAAACAAAACAAGCCCCCGCGCGTTGGAACGAAATACCGGATAAAAGTCAGTCCATACAGTATCTCTGCAGCGTAAACACTATACATATGTATATAAGTATAAAGGTTACCCATATAATATGTACCCGTTAACACCGCGGTAGTTTCGCAAAGTATACCCTACGCACGATCAACCATTGACACGAATATGCCGAGTTTAACGAAGCCGGTCTTTAACTTCTCGTTTAGTCGATCAACGGTGCAAGTTAGCCACGCGCGGGGCAGTGTGTTATCGCTTGCGTTTGCCAACTGTACAAGCTTGTCTATGGTATGGGTCCACGCTTGAACAGTACTTTTGTTATCTTTTGCTACAATGGATTTATACGGTCCGATGGATGATACACACTAGCTGCACAGTTGGTGAGTGAATTTATTAAAAATTATTTTCCAGCGAGGCTCTGCGAGTCCGGCGTCATCTCGTGGAGTCAACAAATTCGAATTAATTTCATCCAAACGGGCCAAACGCAAAGTCGGTTAAGCAGATAGCATCGCCCGACATAATGATAATCATATCCAATGAACCCGCTATCGCGCTCTTCTCGCTCGATTTGAGCCTCGTAAGATGAATTCGCTTCACAAAAGATTGAGCAAACACACCGAAGATAAGAGTAAAGCTTCCCCCTCCTGCTCATCGTGAAATATCAACGAGTCGTCAGGGTCAAAAGGAACAGTTCATTAGCTAGCGGAGCTCCGCGTTGCAGAGGTTTTTCGCGAAATAAACTCCCTCCCCCCCTCGCAGGGGAGACGCACTAGATTAGCCGATTATCCTCGGTATGTACGAGCTCTAGAGGCTCATCCCCCCCTGAAAATGATATTTCAGCTAATTCCGCTTAAACGATCGTCGTCTACGTTCTCCTTCCTCTCTCTCTCTCCCGGTAATACCCGGCTATTAAACCCACTCGTGTAGAGCTCGAAAGGAGAGTATATGGTAGCCCCGGATTTTTTTCCTTTCTTTTTTTGTTACACTCATACAGGAGAGGGCGCCCCGAAATTCATTAGGCGTCCTATTTCGAGAGCCACATCCCTATACGTATATACGTGGCTGTGCGGTGTGCCAAGGTATAATGCGCTCTGGATTACGAGCTTGAGATCTCGTTTGACCGAGCCGATCCTCCCCACCTCCTCGACATTAAAATCTCATTAGAAAAAAAGCCTGCGACGGGGATTACAAACTATGTGGTCCACACTTGGAGGCTGGAAGGGAAAAAAAGTATAGCGGATTGGGAGAAGACAAAAAAAAACAACAACTTTTCCCATCTTCTCTAGGGACGTTGGGTGTGTAACCGCCTGCTCGCACTGTCTAGATTTGGGAGAGCGAGTGCGTAGGAGATTTGTGGGCAATAGTATGATTATAGTCGCGGACGAAGGACCGAGTTATTTATCACATATTATTTCTCGCGTAACGATGACGGATGTAGGCATTGGGTGACTCTATCCTCGGAGCTGTCGATTATTCATGGGGGAGCATGCGTGGCCCACTAATTCTACGGATCCCTGGCGTTGAAGTAACGTCGATTCCTCTCCCCTTTTTTTTTTCGGGGGAGAATTCATTGTTTTTTACATACACGTCCGAAGGTTGCGCGATGGGGTATATACTTTTGTGTTCTTGTTTCGCAAGCTTGATTGACGCGACGTTGCGAGCATTAATGGTGGATTTTTTTTTTTCCACGACGGTATTTTCGATTTGGGGAAAGATAAATCGTTTCGGGCCGACATCATATATTGTTCCTACGTCGTGAGTGACTTGTTTATTTCGGCTGATGGTACATGTTTTTATACGTATGCAAAGTACTCGTGTGTCGCGTTTTGGTGTCCTACTTTTTTTTTTTTTTTTGCCTAACCCCAATGTACATTTTATGCAGAGCAATCCTGACATGTTGAATTATTTTGGCTGTCGTAATATAGGAGTAGGACAACTGCATTCGAAATGTTAATCTGCAGCTTTGGAGATGTTTATTATAGACTCGTTTGAAACACGAGCGTCTAAAAACCTGTTGATGCCTCGGGTAAATTGCTTTTAAATTGCTCCAAATTTGCGTAATTTAGCTAAACGATGGTTGTACTGATGATGGCAAACAAAGTTATGTTGGTTGTACAAAATATAAGCATCTAAATCGTGGACTTGATTTACTACATCGAGCACAGGATAGCAATAAAAAAAAAAAAATTATCAAAGTTATATGTACAAACAAATAGTAGGTACATGCAAAATCAATATAGAGAGCAACTGGCCCCCAGATTTCCGCCATAAAAATACCATATCCACTGAAATTGACCATATTCTCTTTTTTGTGTGCTTGCAGCTGTCGGAGCTGGAACAACGTGTCCTGGAGGCGGAGGGACGTGCCGACGAGGCGGAGGACAAGGTAAGCCCCCGATTCTCAAATACATTTCGCATGCAAAGTGCCACGAAAACGGCTCGTTTACACACACACGCGCGTGCTCCAATTTTTCGATGCCGTATGGATTTCCGATGGGGAAAAGGGCGGATTACCGCGACCTATACCGGTGAGCCCCGCCGCAGCTGTTGCTGGTGCGCAGCTTGCAGCGCCAGCTCCGTAATTTGGCCCAAAGTTGCCGGTGAAGGGGCGCGCCCCAGCTTTACCGACCGCAGCTGAGGGTAACTTTGCTTATCGACGCCCGGGACGACCACCGATGCTCGGGGTTGTATACCTACTTATAATTGGGCAATCACGAATATGTAATCCACCTTTGCGAATAACGCGATTCCCGAAAATTGATTGTGACCCAGCAGGGGTGGCTTTACTCCCACGTAACATTGCAAAAGTACAGCTACACCCCCTTCGGCAATTTCCCCCAACTCTATAGAGGACCGTCCGTCGAAAAGCACGCCCTGCTGTCGATACGTAAAAAATAAAAAATAAAAAAAAAAATAAAAAATCACCATCTGCAGCTACCGCTGCTGTTACCGACCTCGCGAGGCGCACGGGGGCATCGATCCCCGGAGTCGCGTGTTGGGCACGCACTCCTACATCTTACACTTGCAACCGTCTACAAGTATAGAGGTGTGTATGAAAGTGCCGGGCACATGCACATGCGGACGAACGGACGGACTGGCAAAAGAACGGAGGGACGAGAGAAAAAGATGGACAAACGGTGGAGGAGGACACTCGCGATGTATACCCATCACGTATACTGCATGTACAGAGATAGAGAAAGAGGCGTATAGGGCGCGTATAGACATATAACACAGCAGGGGGGAGGGGAAGCGCTGCATCTCTCGAGCATTGATTTTCGTAGCCCGTGGAGTGCGCGGGTTGGAGGAGGGCGACAAAGTATAGTACTATATACTAGTAGTAGAAGATAGGAGAGGATGTATAGGCTCGCGAGGAGTATGACTGTGATGTGTGTGTAGGCGAGGGCACAGCGCGCCGCTGCCAAGATGGCAGAGAACGAGCCGCGGTCGCCGGGGCCGGCGTACACTCTACTCCTCCGCGTTGCCGTTGTAGTTGCGACGTTGGCGCGATAAAGGGGCGATGTCCGGCCCCATGGTAATTGGCAAAGTGTCGGGGATAAGGACGAATTGCGGTGCGACCGAGGGTTATTGTGTTGATGCCGTAGAAGCCGCACGTTACGGAGCAGAGGGACACTCAGCGCGCGCGAGACAGCGGTACTATGGATCATCCCAGCAGGTGACACTCGTGAAAGGTAAATCTCCTATCGCTTATCGCTCGTGGGCCTTTTTTTTTTTTTTTTTTTTTTTTTTCATCGCAACCCGAGCTCATATTTTATACAATTTTATAGGTATAATCAAGGATTTGGCTGTATGTAAGATTTCTTTCTTTCTCCGTTAACGTCGCGTTAATTGTTGTTCAATTTAAGCACTTTGGTGCAACCATGAAGCATCGACATCACGCACGAGGCTTTAAACGCATGCACCCATTTACACGGTACTTTACGGAGCTTTAAATTGTGCCACTCCAAAAAGCTCTGTTTACTTTTCCCCCATCATTCCGATGCGGCGTATGGGCCAGTAGTCAGCATCGCGCACGTCCACCCTCGTTATCGCGCTTTCGACACTTTGGTGCCGTGCATGCATAATGCAACGCGTGCCTCCCAACCCCCTGCGAGTCTCTCTCGATGCACCCTCGGGGTCGTACATACACATATACACACGCGGCTGCTACACGTAAGGAGGTGTGGAAAAAGCGACGGCACGCGTGTGTACATATACAGGGGCAGGGAGGAAGATTAGCGCGCATTAATCGAGCGAGGGGTGCGAGAAATTGGACCGGAAATGCTACTCTTTCGAGGCAAGTAGGGGGCGCGCGTACGTGAGTTCACTCGGGCGGCGACGACAAAGGAGAGGACCTGACGTACATACTCTCGCTTTTCTCGAGCTCTTCCGTACAAATATGTCCTCCTCCTGTGTAATTTTCGGCGCGACGCCGGGGAGTGCACGCAAATTCGATAACAACCGGAGCCCGCGGGCCGAGCGAGGGTTAATTGCTCCTTGGCGCGCGCTCGGTCGAGGGGATTAATTTAGTTTTCCGAAAGGCTCCTGGGACAGCCTCGTTAGCGTTTCATTCTGCGGCCGAACCCGTTAGAGTGTTGGTGTGTGTATCGATGAGAGGACGGGAGAGCTAAACCGATTATAGACGAGGGCGGCTTGACAGCTCCCTGAATGGCGCCGTGTGACTGTGCCACGTGGATATCAAGGCTTTTTTTTTTTTTTTCATCACTTGAGTCTACTTGGCGATAAAAAGGGGGAAAATTACAAGTAGTACTGCCAAAACTGCTGGGCTTTCGAAACGAAGCTGAACCAAATTATACGTACATAGGGTATCTTAAAAACTCCTATTATTTTACTGAGTTGGGAAGGGTTACCCATTGTAGAATTTCGTCATTGGTGCTATCACTCCCACAGCTTCATATTAATCCACACACTGAGCCGGGAGAAACATCTTAATGACATGTACATACTACATGTATATGGTTAGCTGTTTCCCCTTTTGGACGATCTACACCTTTTCTCGACACGGTGCATGTGTCATACGTGCGCTTCGCTCAAGGGGCGAACGAACGTTTCTCTCCGAACGTGTGTGCGTGTACGCGTGAGGCTATACACTACGGGGGAGATAGGAAACGACGACGTATATTATAATGCGTATGAGCTCCGAGCGCGGCGAAAATAAAGAGAGGCTCGTCTGCCCTCTAAATATATACGGGCAGCTGATGAGCTTGCAGAGTGCCGGGGGAGATAGGAAGGCCGAGGGAGAGAGGGCTTTATTTTGAATGTTCCGAGAAGTCAGGAAAGTTGCGCGGAAACGAAGACGACGGCGATGCTGGTGGCGGGCTACGCTTCATTCAGACGTTATATATGTACTCTATATCTCTCCTGCTTAATTATTATTGTACACACACAACGGAGACGCGCCGGCTCGTTCGATGGTTTGTTATACTTTTATGGTATAGGTACTCCGAGTGCTTAGCTCCTCTTATGGAGTGATATATATATATATATATGTGGTGTGCGGTTGAAATTCATGTACTCTATTCGCGTGGGCTGATTTGTTTTGAAAGATTAATTATAAAGCTGTTTTATCTCGGTTTTATCGGATGGGCGTTTTTTTTTCAACGCGATTGGTCTATACACGGGAGTGTCACCACAAGAGCGTGTATCTTTTGCTGTGTATTTTTGTGCACATATATTTGTGTTACAATCAATCATATTGTATATGTGATTGTCGTGTGTACCTTTATTTTCATACCAAATCATTACGAGTATCAAAGCAGGCAAGTTTCTTTAAAAATGAAAAAATGCATTAGCACTTTAACCGCAGAGCTTGGAATTTATAAAAAAAAAATGTTACTTACGGGTGCTGCTTTTAAGCTTGATCCTTTTTGAATAAATGTTTGAATTCCAAAAATAAAACCACTCTATTAAAGCAATTTATATTTTTTTTTAATTAACAACATTTTTTGTCTGTTTATACAATATACGCGGGGGCATGGATCTCAATCGAATGAACTAGCTGATTTTTAAAACTAAAATAAATGTTTTGAAAATTCAATTTTTTTTTTTTTTTTTTTTTTTTTTTTTCAATACAATCAACCACAAAACGATGTGTTATGATAAAAATTATAACATATTACATGCATCATTATACAAATTAACTTTTTTGTATACTGGAAAGTAATGAAATGTAAAATTATGCAATCGTATTTTTCAACTTTTTTCTTCTTTGCTTCCCTACTTCACTAAAAAGAATACAGGGATTTAAAAAAGTTTCTTTTAAAGGTAGTCTTCCAACACTTATGAATTTTACTCTTTTTTAGTGCTCTTATACGGTAGCTCTCTATACTACATCAACAGCATCCGCTTCAAAATATCATCAAATTTTGTTTTTCAGTAAACGACTTGTCTCAATTCATAAACCACACCCCTGTAGCCGCATAACTTACGATAATCACCAATATAAAATTATGCGCGCTTTCCAATGACGCCCCAATATATGCGCGTGTATTTTTACGCGTTCAATCGGCTCGTGCATTAAATTCCTCGATCCGTCCGGCATAAGTTTGCAATATGAACTTTAGCTGCCGCCACGCGAGCTCTCGCCAAAGTATCGAATCAGCCCCGATCGATCGAGATTTTCCGCGTAGCCGCGACGATCAGATGAGAAAATACTTTTCATTGTTCGCTCTTGTATATATGGTATATGCCCGATGGATAAGCGCTCAGGTGGCGCAGAATTGTGCAGTGCATGCATATAGTACACCTCATACACACACACACACACACGAGATAGCGAGTATAAGTATAATACGGTATACACGCATACAATGGGCATAGCGCGAGTTATCGACTGCAGACATATATATGTGTAACTATGTACAATACGCGCCGGTCATTCGACTCTACGCAGACAGTCGTTGACCTTCCGCATCGCGCACGCAGCGGTTGCTGTATTTGTTGCTGATGGGCTCTCTCTCTCTCTCTTGTTTCTCTTTTTCCTCCCAGTGCTAATTCCCGGCGATGATGACGACGGGACCCCTATCCGCTGCAACTCAATCAAGAGATGCGCTTTGATCTCCCTTCCCGATACCCACGCGTATATATTTATTATGTACACGCCATACGAGTTCTCATCGGCAGATGTTTGTGCGCGTCTTTGCAACCTTCCCCGACGTCACATGGCCCAATGAAAATTCCCACTCAAAGCTTGCGCATTAAGTTACTATTCAAATGAATTCTCATGTATAGCTGTATAGGTACGATTATTCCGTATAGCTTATTTCGGTCAAACACCCGAGGCGAGCTTTCCAACTGACGGTGTATTATTTCAGGGTTGCGCGCCTCTTGGCAGACAGCCACGCGAGTATGAGCGCGCGTCCCTCCCGA